TAACATTAGCTTCTTCTAATTGTTTTACATATTTAGCATTAGCTTCTTCTAATTGTTTTACATATTTAGCATTAGCGTCTTCTAATTGTTTTACCTCTTTAGCATTAGCTTCTTCTAATTATTTTACATATTTAGCATTAGCTATGGTAAATTTTTTTAGCCGGCTGTGCCCACCACTGAATTTAAAAAAAAATCTTTCTCCACCAACATGAGTAAACTTTTCTCATTAAAAAAAAAAAAAAAGCTTTTTATTAATATTTTTTGATTACTTTCATTTTGACCATTTTGGTCCAAATAAGAAAAAGTTTGGAGACGCGTGGTTTGGTTTATACAAATATTGATGATGATCCATTTGACAAAACTCCTCGTCGATCATCAGCACCTGTTTTCATTTAGCCGTGATGTTCTCGTCTGTTCTATATTGTTAGCAAAATATCGTTTTTGAACACGTTTTAAACTGTTAGAAAGCAACTGTTTGATCTATGACTGAGTTTATTAATAATCATTTAAAGATGGCCGCCACAGTCACTGACCATAAGGAAACTAAAAATGGCTACGTCAGTTTAACAAACGGTGAGCTTAATTTAGCCGTGGTAGTAGCTGAGAGTTGTGATCCTGCGAGACCAGATGTTGGTGCAGAACTTTAAAAACCATCGATATATTTCTGAAGATCTCGTTCTCCCACACCGTGAGATGTTCATGCCCCACCGTCGGTCTGGACTCCAACTTCAGCAACCGTTGCCCTGAATTATTGCTCGTTCGTTATGGATCTGCTGAAACGCGTCACTTCCCCTCCCCCGTTCAGACGTGAGGATACGAGCCGAAGTCTTCCCTTCGGGTCTCCTCTGAAAACCTCACGTCTCGGTCTCCTTCCTGCTGAAGCTGGCAGGAGGAGCCGCAATCAGCCGACGTTCGGCTTTTTTCTGTTCCCATTCCCACAGCGGTGTTGTTTCTGTTTGTGCTGATCCGGAGCTTTGAGTCCTGCTGGGACTTCTGCCTCTGGACTCGGAGGTGCCAAGTTTATTTTTTATTTTTCTCTTTGCTTCAGGCTGTTTTTCTTGCTGGCTGTGGTCAAAACGGCTCAACGTTCCTCGCCCTTAATTCTCACGTGACGCACAAACTGGACGTGCTTTTTACTCCAACGGTGTTCAGAACGAGACAACGGGTGAATTCACGGCACGAACAACAAGCGGCCGTCAGGATGTGGGCGACAGGGCTGCGGGTCAAAGGTCAGGAGCTCTGAACGGCAGCTCTGTTGTAAATATCTGAATTATAAAACTGTTCTTTGTTTACAGCGTCTCAAACATCTTTTATTCCTTCATCTAACGGAGGAACGGGCTGGGATTACACGTTTCACCACCACCTCGAGAACAATAATGCGTGCAGCACGTTGGTCTCGTCGTGCAGAGAAACGTTTGAACGTGAGGAGAGACTGGAAACAACCAGAGGCCTCTTCAGTATCCATTTAACAAACTTTCATTTAAAGTTGACCAAATTAAACTTCTAATGAATACAAAGCAAAAGTTCATAAAACACTCAAAAACCTTTTGAGACGTGAAAAACTTTATTTTTATTCCCCCGGGCACCCGAGACACATTTTGTCTTCACCACTGGGTCCAGTTTGTCTGTGGACTCTGGATCTTTTACTCAAAGCACTAAACCTTTGCCCCCTCCCCCAGGCACTATTTATTTAGTTTTATTTTGGGGTTGTCTGAGCACACTTTTTTTATATTTTATTTTTTTAAGACTCCCTGGGTTGGTTCTTAATTTTATCTCTTGTTGCAGAGGCGTGTTGTGAGCAGGATCAAGACGTGAGAACGTTTCCTTTTGAGAACTGTGACACGTCAAAATCCAAGATGGCCACCACCATTAATACATAAACCCTGTGAACTGGATAATTTGAAAAATTAGCAATGGGTCAATTACATTTTTGGTGTTCAACACAATGGTACTTTGTCTAGTTATTTAACAGTCACCAATGGTGTGCCACAAGGCTCAGTTTTAGGACCCACTCTTTTTACAATTTATGTAAGTGACGTAGGTCAAAACATTCCGGGAGCCTCCTTGCATCTTTATGCGGATCATACAATTGTTTATTTTCAAGCTAATGGTTGCCATGACAAAATCCAAAATGGCCACCACTCCATCCATCCAAGCCCCCCCCCATCTTTTTTTTTTTTCCCCCAAAAAGTCAAATTTTCTGAAATGATTGGGGTGGCTGAAAATTAATCTATGGGGGCCAAGGCCACCACTGCCCCCACCCCAGAAAGCAGAAAGTCAAGTTTCCAAAACTTTCCCTGCATTAAAAAAAAAAAAAACCTTTTTATTTCCAGCTGTTGAATCCTGAGATCTAAATATTGTTTTAGGTTTTTCTTTCACATGACGTCAGAAGATCTGGATTATAATCCACTAAAACTGATTCAGAACAATCCTCCATTTATTGTCGTGAGCAGCAAGACGAATCAAACCAAAGCTCCGGAACCACTCGTGTTGTCAGGATGATGAAAATGAAGCTTAAACAGCCGAAAATCAGAAAATGTGCCGTTTGGTTTGTGACGACTCCGACTTCAGAGATTTTAAATTTAATTTTAGACCGGTTCTTCGCTCTTCCTCACTTCGCTGGTGAGTTTTCAGTCTTGGTGCTCAGATTACATAAGACCAGTTAGAAATGATAAATGACCGGAGGAACGTCTGAAAAGAACAATTTGTCTAAAAATAAAAACATTCATTGCAGTAAAAGTATAAAAATACTGCAGCTCAGGTATTTGGGGCAGTTTGATGATTAATGTGAGGCAACGTGTTTAAAAAAGGGAAAAGTCTCCTGGTTTGTTTGATAACTGAGCTCCACGCAGGAGAAACACCCGGAGCTTCAGACCAGAGCCGAGACCAGGGATCAGGATTTTGAGGACTGGGTCTCTGTTGGACGTCGGACACGGAGGCCACCGTGGATTGAGTGTAGTGACAGCGAGTGTAGAGTTCTACGAGTGTTTTTTCTGGACTAGACCTGAGCAGAGCATGAAGGAAACCTAAATGTTTCTGGATCTAGATTTTCAAGTGGAGCTGTGGAGAAGAACAGTTGTTGTTTGTTTGTTTGTTTGTTTGTTTGTTTTTTCTTGTCTGAGGCAACGCAGAGTGATGGATCCTGGTGAAGGGAGCAACATTTTCCACGTTCTGGTGCAGTGGTGGCACCAGAGGGTGTCCATTGGTGGCCTTGGCCCCCCATAGAAAAAGGTATAGTTTCCTCAAATTATCGGGGTGGTCATACGGTGGCGGTCATCTTGGAACGTGACTTGGCACCTTAGTTTTCAACGGTGACCTGAAATCGAAGTCGGTATCAATTATTTTCAAGTTATCGTTCTCACAACAGATGGAGGTATTTCCAGTTCCCCGCTTTACTTGAAAACAGGACAGTAATGGTAGTAGCTGAGAGTGTTTCCTAACAGGCCTCTGAGAGCTGACGGGTCACGTGAGGTCTGAGTGTCGTGTTTCCAACAGATTAAATTTAAGTTAACTCTGGTCTGGACGGGAGCAGGCGACTACTTTTATTTTTATTTACTTATTTTGCTTTCTACCACTTTTTATAACTGAAACTACTTTTTCTATTTTAAAATATAATCTTAAGTGTTTTTTCTTCTGTTTAGCTTTCAAATTCTGATTGTCTTTTTAATTAACTTATTTGAATTTATATATATATATTTAATTTCTAACATCTTTACCTGCTTCTTTGCTGGTTGTGGAGGTCGAGTAAGAGTCGGTAATTACGAAAACACTTTTGCTCAGAACTATTAAAAAATAAATAAATAAAAAAACATGCAACTCCAGTATATAATTGTTGTAATAAAAGAAAAACCCATTAGTGACATGAGAAATGATGGACGATTAAAAGATGACAACATTTAAAAGCAGTTTATCTGAAACAAACCGATAATTATCACTTTTTATTAAATCTCGACTATTCTTGAAAGGAGAAGAGAAAAGCTGAGATTGATTCGGGACAGAAAAGTTAATTACAGTCTGATCGTCGGGAGCCGTCGGCGCGGCAACAAGAACAAATAAACGAGTGAGTCACGAGGCAGATCCATCGAGGCGCCCGGCCTCGTCGGTTCGTAAACAAAGACGACGGATCTGAACATCTGACACGGCCAGCGTCTCCTCAGCGCCACCGCGTCGTGTTTTCAGTTCATGGAGTCGGAGAGCAGAGCTCTGGAGGTCTTCATGTGAGAGGATCAGCACCGCGGCTTCAGACACGCCTGCAAACACAATTTATCTGAAACCTGGTGGAGAATCAGCTAAATAAATTAACTCCTCGTGCACGGAGACGTGCACGCCTTCGTGCAGAAACCAAACATTCATAAATGAAACGAAGTGATTTAATCAACAGGAGTTGCTCTAATTAATGATGGGGGGGGGGGGTCAGGTTTTCTTTTCTGGTTTATCTAAATCTATTAGGGTTCAATTAGAACTGAGCCATGAATCAGATTTGTAGTTTTATATCCGTCCATCCATCCGTCCGTCCATCCATCTGTCCGTCCATCCATCCATCCGTCCATCCATCCGTCCGTCCATCTTTCCATCCATCCGTCCATCCATCCATCTTTCCATCCATCCGTCCGTCCGTCCGTCCATCCATCCATCCGTCCGTCCATCATCTTCTTGTTCTGGACTCGGGTCTCGGGGGCAGCATCAGAGCAGGGAGGTCCAGACATCTCTCTCCACAGCCTCTTCCAGCTCTTCTGGGAGGACTCCAAGGTGTTCCCAGGTCCACAGAGAGGTCTCTCCAGCGTGTCCTGGGTCTTCCCCGGGGTCTCCTCCCAGTCGGACATGCCAGAAGCACCTCCCTAGGGAGGCGCCCAGGGAGCATCTTTACCACAGTTCATGACCAGAGGTGAGGGGAGGAACGTAGACCGACCAGTAAACAGAGAGCTTTGTCTTACAGCTCAGCTCCTCTTCACCACAACGGACCGGCACAGAGTCCACAATACTGCAGATGCTGCACCAATCGGTCCGTCACTCTCACGCTCTGTTCTTCACTCACTCGTGAACAAAACCCTGAGATACTTGAACTCCTCCGTTTGAGGCAGAACCTCACCCTCGACCTGAAGAGAACAATCCACCTTTTCTGACTGAGTTTCATGTAGTTTTATATTTTTGCTCAAAACTTTTGCAACATAATCAAGAAAATATATTTTCCATATTCTGTTCAGTGAATGGGCTTCATTCTTCTCATTGAGTTACTCCTCTCTTAATATTAAGTTAAATACAATTTAACCGTAAAAGACCTGGGGGGGGTTACTTCATACAGCAAGAAATACAACTCGTCTTGGGTCGTGCACTTTAATACAAGTTCAACTTGAAGGTCTCAAGAGACGCGTGTTAGTTTGTCTAAACCACCCGTCTGTAACAATAATAATAATAATAATAATATAACGGACATCACAAACTTACCGGTGTCTCCGGTAAATAAAAAGTATATTTTTCCATGAAACGTTTCACTACATACTGCAATACACACAGAATGATGTGATATAAAGTATTGAATTTAAACCTATGCATTATGTTAAAATTACATTTTATTCATAACTCCAGAACAGGACGTGGCGTTCGGGTTCAGGAAGGCGCTCGGATGAATGACTTTGTGGGGTCAGGTTTTACTTCTCTCACCGGATCTCTCACTGGATCTCTCACTGGATCTCTCACTGGATCTTTGGAAATAAAGTTAATAAATTCATAAATAAATTAAAAGCAGATCCACCGCGATAAACGAGGGACTACTTTACATCAGTACCTGGTTAGAAAGAGAGAGTATGTTGCGCTGCTAAAGTTACAGAGAACAAGATCTGAGCGCAGCCCCTTTCAAGAAGGGGTCACACTTTCCTATATAAAGTTACATCAATATTAGGCTAAAATTGAGTCTGGTAGTAGCTGAGCATCATCCTGAGCCCGTACTCTGAGCATTAACACATCTCACACGTAAGTTATGACTTAAAATAGTTTTGAAAGATAGCGGGTGATATGCAATGTTTGAAGGAATGGGAGGACTTTATTCTTAGATCTTTCCGGTGTTTTAACCAGAACAAGAGTCACAGAAAACTTTTATACTTTTGGATTTTCCTCCAAATACAGAGATTTATTTTAAAGCTCTGGACTGCAATAGCAGCCATCTCCACTTGTAAAAGACTTGTTTTCCTGGAGCTGCATGTGGTCCTGTTTTATACATCTTTACCATTTCCACACAGTTATCCATAATAAATGCAGATGAGTCTAAATCACTGATTTCCCAGACTCTGTTGCTTCAGTGGTGGAAAACCAAGAGCAATTTACCAAAGTAGTGACACTTAAGAAGCACTACTGTGGCAATTTATAATCCTCATGATAAGAACTCCCTGCATCAGTTGACTCCATTCATTATTAACAGCGCTCCATCTCCTGCAGTTGGTTGTAGCTGCTCTCTGTGCGGCTGCGATTAGTTTACTAACGCCCAGCATCGAGGCGCGCATCACTTTGGGCCAGCTATCGTGGTGTTTGTAAATCTGATTATCTCTCAGTTTGTGTTTTTAGTCAACTGTGTGCTGACAACACTTCAATAAGTTGTTTTCTCAACTCACAAAACCAGTCAAACTAACAAAGTCCATGCTCAACAAACTCCTAATCAGCAAAAATCTGCAGTATTACAAACATCTGGCAAGCTGGTGTGCAGACAACGACCTGGTCCTCAACTCCACCAGAACCAAGGAGGTTAATACAGACTTCACAAGAACCAGGGGAACCACACAGTCACTGCTTTGCATCAGTGGTGTGGAGTTGATGGAGTCAGTCAGATTCAGTGGCATCACCAAAAACCTGACATGGACTTTAAACACCTCCATCCTGGTTAAAGAGCCAGAGCTGGATGGTCTGGTTCTACAGCAGCTAAAAAAACAAAAACATGAAAGGAATATTTGAAATAATTTTTGTCTGCCATTTTTTTATAAACTGTTTTTAAAAAGTGTGGTTTAGGAAAACCTAACTGGATTTTTTTCAGACCATAATTGAGATCATATCTGAAGGTTGAAGTCGACGTAAAACTAGTCTTCAAAGTTTGTGTACCTGCTTGACTTGCTTTAGGATCATTTCCAGCAATCAGCAAATACTTGAAGTATAAATTTAATGATTTCAGACATTCAAGTGTTGTGATTTTAAATTTTAAGAAAAGTGTTTTTCTTCTAACAATTCATGAAGCTGTCTCTCATTTCTGTCTTGTAGATGAAAACACAGAAAGGCAAAAGCTTCATATAATGATTCAAAACATTTCTCTTTGCTGCGTCTGAGTTTCCACAAAGAACGAGGCCGCGGTCCGACCTCTACATCTTTAGAGATGCTGCAGTCGACAGGAATGGATAATCAAGACAGAGGTTGGCTTTACAGCCTAATTAGCACCTGTAATTAAAACATGTTCTGAAAGACAGATAGCATGGGTCTGCCTTCCTCTGTCGCACTGCAAACCTCTGCAGAAGGCTCACACCAAACGGCAAGGGAAAGACGTCTCTGCAGCCCCAATCAGAGAAAATGAAGCAGTTTATTTCAGGTCTTAATGACAGAAAGCAGGAAAACATAATCATGCCTGTCATTAATATTCACTGCCACCAACAAACCTTCCGAGCTCAGATTATAAGCTATAAGCTGCTGTAAGAAAACTTCTTGTTCTCAGTAAACAATCAGGTTACATAAATATGACTATTCGACACTTGGCTATTTCTTACAATTATTAGTAAAAATTAAAAGGCTAAGATTTAAATGCCCCACAAACCATCACAACCAAATAAATGTATCAATCAAAAACCAGACCGTGCAGACTAAAGTCAAACATGTTGGCCCCTGACCAAACTTTGTTGGTATCTCCTGCTTTAATTGTTTTTTCCCTCAGGTTAAACCCCGGACGAGCCCCCAATTTAAACTGCAACCCAGCTCTGTTTGGCAGCAACAAAATTGAAACTGAACACTTTAGGACTTGCCGGTTAAAAAAAATGTGTTAGTGGATCCAAACAAACCTAAGTTATCCTTTACAAAAGATTTAAGTTTTTCATGCAACATGTGTGAGATCACATGAATGTAATGTTCAAAAAAATCTAATTCCTGATGCGCAAAAGAAGTTCCACATGTTGATTTAATGTGTTTTAGCCATGAAAACACACAGACGATGGTTCAAATCTTTGAAATGTGTTTGTTTTCCACGTGTCACATTATCGCCACTGCCACCATGGACAGGCAATACTGTAGCTACCAGAGTCTGCATCTGTGTCAGCAAAATATCTCATGAACCACTGCATGCAATAAAACTCATTTCGGCCACTTGTATCCGAGATCTCGTTCTTTCGGTTACAACTCAAAGCTCATGACCATAGATGAGGGTGGGAACGTAGATCGATCGGTAAATTGAGAGCTTCGCCTTTTGACTGAGCTCTCTCTTCACCACGACAGACCTGTACAGCTTCCGCTTCACTGCAGACGCTGCACCTATCCGCCTATCGATCTCACGTTCCATTTTTCCCTCATTCGTGAACAAGACCCCAAGATACTTGAACTCCTCCACTTGGAGCAGGACCTCCTCCCTGACCCGGAGAGGGCACTCTACCCTTTTCCGGCTCAAGACCATGGCCTCGGATTTGGAGGAACTGATCCTCATCCTGGCCGTGTCGCACTCGGCTGCGAACTGCTCCAGCGAAAGCTGTAGATCACGATCAGATGAAGCCAACAGGACCACATCATTGCAAAAAGCAGAGATGCAATCCTAAGGCCACCAAACAAATCCCCTCAACACCTTGGCTCCGCCTAGAAATTCTGTCCATAAAAGTTATGAACAGAATCGGTGACAAAGGGCAACCATGGCGGAGTCCAACTCTCACTGGGAACAAGCCCGACTTACTGCCGGCAATGCGGACCAGGCTCTGACACCGGTCATACAGGGACCTAACAGCCCATATCAAAGGGCCTGGTACCCCATACTCCCAGAGTACCCCCCACAGGGTTCCCCGAGGGACGCAGTCGAACGCCTTCTCCAAGTCCACAAAGCTCATGTAGACCGGTTGGGCAAACTCCCACGCACCCTCCAGGACCCTGCTGAGAGTGTAGAGCTGGTCCAGTGTTCCACGACCAGGACAAAAACTGCACTGCTCCTCCTGAATCCGAGGTTCGACTATCCGACGGACCCTCCTTTCCAGAATCCCCAAATAGACCTTACCAGGGAGGCTTAAGAGTGTGATCCCCCTGTAGTTGGAACACACTCTACGGTCCCCCTTTTTAAATAGGGGGACCACCACCACAGTCTGCCAATCCAGGGGAATTTCCCCTATGTCCACGCAATATTGCAGAGTCGTGTAAGCCAACACAACCCTACAACATCCAGAGCCTTAAGGAACTCGGGGCGAATTTCATCCACCCCTGGGGCCCTGCCACCGAGGAGCTTTTTAACCACCTTGGTGACCTAAGCACCAGAGATTGGAGGGCTCGACCCAGAGTCCCCAGGCTTCGTTTTTTCAGTGGAAGACGTGCCGGTGGGATTGAGGAGGTCTTCAAAGTATTCTGCCCACCGACCCACGACATCCCGAGTTGAGGTCAGCAGCACACCATCCCCACTATAAACAATGCTGGTGGTGTACCGCTTTCTTCCCTTGAATTCAATTCAATTCAATTCAGTTTATTTATATAGCACCAAATCACAACAAAGTTGTCTCAGGGCACTTTACAGGAACATTCACATACATAAAAGCCGATTAGTAAAGTTCTCTATCTAAGGAATCTTGAACCTTGAGACGCCGGATGGTGGACCAGAATCGCCTCAAAGCCGTGCGGATGTCATTTTCCATGGCCTCTCCAAACTCCTCCCATGCCAGAGTTTTTGCCTTAGCGACCACCCGAGCCGCATGTCGCTTGGACTGCTGGTACCCATCAGCTGCTTCCAGGGTCCCACAGGCCAAAAAGGCCTGATAGGACTCCTTCTTCAGCCTGACAGCATCCCTCACCGACGGTGTCCACCACTGCGTTCGAGGGTTGCCGCCGCGACAGGCACTGACAACCTTGTGGCCGCAGCTCCGGTAAGCCTCCTCGACAATAGAGGCACGGAACATGGCCCACTTGGACTCAATGTCCCCCACCTCCCCTGGAACATGTTCGAAGTTCTCCCGGAGGTGGGAGTTGAAGCTCCGTCTCACAGGAGACTCTGCCAGACGTTCCCAGCAAACTCTCACAGTACGTTTGGGTCTGCCAGGTCTGACCGGCATCCTCCCCCACCATCGGAGCCAACTCACCACCAGGTAGTGATCAGTTGACAGCTCCGCCTCTCTCTTCACCCGATTATCTAAGACATGTGGTCACAGATCAGATGAGACGACAACAAAGTCGATCATCAAACTGCGGCCTAGGGTGTCCTGATGCCAAGAGCACATATGGACACCCTTATGCTTGAACATGATGTTCGTTATGGACAATCCATGACGAGCACAGAAGTCCAACAACAGAACACCACTCGGGTTCAGATCAGGGGGGCCGTTCCTCTCAACCACACCCCTCCAGGTCTCACTGTTATTGCCCACGTGAGCATTGAAGTCCCCCAGCAGAACAAGGGAGTCCCCAGGAGGTGCACTTTCCAGTACCCCCTCCAAGGACTCCAAAAAGGATGGATAATCTGAACTGCCGTTTGGTGCATAAGCACAAACGACAGTCAGAACCCGTCCCCCCACACGTAGGCGGAGGGAGGCCACCCTCTCATTCACCGGGGTGAACCCCAACACACAGGCTCCAAGATGGGGGTCAATAAGTATGCCCACTCCTGCTCTGTGCCTCTCACCAGGGGCAACCCCAGAATGGAAGAGTGTCCAACACCCTCAAGGAAACTGGTTCCAGAGCCAGAGCCATGCGTAGAGGTGAGTCTGACTATTTCTAGCCGGAAACTCTCAACCTCACACACCAGCTCAGGCTCCTTCCCCACCAGTGAGGTGACATTCTACATTCCAGTAGCCAGCTTCTGTAGCCGAGGATCAGACTGCCAGGGTCCCCGCCCTCGGCCACCACCCATCCCACATTGCACCCGACCCCTTTTGCCCCTCCCACAGGTGGTGAGCCCATGGGAAGGGGGACCCACGTCTCCTCTTCGGGCGGTGCCCGGCTGAGCTCCATGGGTAAAATCCCAGCCACCAGGCGCTCGTCCGCGTGCCCCACCTCCATTCCTGGCTCCAGAGTGGGGCCCCGGTGACCCACGTCCAGGCGAGGGAACAGCGAGTCCATTTATTTTTCTCATCATAGGGGTGTTTGGGCTGCACTTTGTCTAAAAACACACAAAGATCATGTTTAAATGATTGTCAACACAAACATCTCAGCCAATCACACGACAGCAACTCAGTGTCTTTAGTTTGGACTGAAGACAACTTAGAACGATCCTTAAAGACACTTAAAATGGGGACAAAAGGGGTTTAAGTGACTTTGAAAGTGGAATGGTTGAGTGTTTCGGAAAACACTGATCAATGGGGTTATTAATTTTAACACACAACCTTTTAAAGAGAAATGGTCCCCCCTCCAAAAAGGAGAATCTTTCATGAGAAGCATTTGTGGACAAAACAGCCTCATTAATGTTAGAAGTTATGGACAACAACAGCTCAAACACTCG